GCACTGGGGGGAGAAGCCGGGGTAGAGGTCGGCGCTGCCATTGCGGCGGGGCAGGAGGAAGGCGTGATGGATGACGTTGAAGGGGAAGTGGCCGGGCTGGGAACACACCAGCTGGGCCTTCAGGAAGGTCGTCCACTTCTTCTGCAGCACCTTGTCCCCTCCCACGTCGTTCTGTGGGAGCCAGGAGGATGCTCAGCCCCCCTGTGGAGGGGGAGACCCCCTGTGGTCCCCCAGAATGGGGGGACAGGAGGTAGAGACTCTTCACTGTGAGGGTGGGGAGAGCCTGGGCCAGGTTGCCCAGGGAAGCTGTGGCTGCCCCATCCCTGGGGGTGTTGAAGGGCAGGTTGGATGGGGCTTGGAGCAGCCTGGGCTGGATTTTTCAAGTGCAGGTTGGAGGTGATGCTGCTGGCCTGAGGTTTGTGGGCATCTCTCCTCTTCCCACTCACTGTGCCAGCCTGTAGCTGCAAGGGCAGGGACCCAGGGCTGGCACTGCCCTTACCTTCACCCTCCTGCGGGCCTCCCTGTGCTCCAGGGGATCTGGGCAACTCCCTGGGGGCTGTGTGGGAACACAACACAAGTCTTTTTCCAGCCGTGGTCTCCTCTTGGGGGGGTGGAAGGGGATCAGCAGAGGGGATGTGGCCAAGTGCGAGGTGCAAGGAAAAGCTGGGGCAGCTGGTTGAAGGCTCCTGAGGGTTTGGGGAGCTCGTCCCCAGGGAAAACACCCCTGCGTGTAGGTGTTTAATAGGACTCGGGCGTGGAGAGGCGCTGCATTGATCGCCATGGTAACCGGGAGCGGTGAACAGGCTGAAGTCATCCTGGGAAACATCCCGGGGGGGGGCTGTCCCAGCAGGGACCCCCAGGGCCCGTGTCCCCCCCCTGCTCACCCGACAGCCAGCGCAGGAAGGCGTCCGTCTTCAGCTGGGTCCTGCTGCCCAGCGAGCGGGAGATGATGGGCTCGTTGCCCAGGAAGTTGTTCATGGTGCCCGTGTAGAGCTCACCGTCTGCTCAGGGTTGTGGTTGGGGGTGAGCTGGGCATGGGGACCCCCCCCCCAGGTGCTCCATCCCACGGGTGGTCGCCTGCCCACGGGGGACGCTGGGTCTGTACTCACCCACCAGCAGGGCAGTGTAGGTGTGCTGGGGGTCGAAGGGACACTGGCCCTTCCCGTCCAGGAAGGGTTGTCCTCTGCCACTGGACACCAGTGTGAAGTTCTCCAGGTGCTGTGGAGAAAGCAGAGAAAAAAAGTCAGGCAGTGGAGATAAAACCAACCCCCAAATCTGCAAGAATCATAAAACGGTTGTGGAATGATGGAAGGGTTGGGTTGGAAGGACCTCAAAGCTCATC